ATATAAAACAATAAAAAATTAATTCACAAACAAAGCACGAGCGTAATATAAACKCAGAACAAACCGTTATACCGTTTTAACAAACTCAATAAGCAAAGAGCGAAAAGCAACCGGTTACGATGACAGTTCGACGGTGAATGCTATTATAATTATCTCTTSATTTATCTTACAATAAAAAATCGTGTTTTACTGTTCGGACGAATTATTACGATATGTAATACCAAATTTCTCGACAATAGTTATCTCTTTTGGTCCACTCATTATCAAAAACAAATTTCCAATTTGTCCATGAATAAGTTAACTAAAACGCTAAAAAATATATAGCATATTTATTTATATCAAGAAGATATATTTAAATCTTTTGATAACAGCTTCAAATTTCATTCTATAAGCAAAATTTAAAATAGTATGTATAAATGTATAAATATAGTACTGTAAATATATAATTTAATATTAAGGCATTTTTGCTTTACGCAACCCGTTTTAACCTCTCGCCACCCTTATTCACCAGAGGTGGCCATGATACGATCATACACTTGGGGGGTAGCTTAAGGACTGTGAATGGCTCTTTTACTACGGTGAATGGGACTTTCCTTACTCCCTTGTACCATGGTGCAAATAAAACCAATTAAAAACTAAGAACGCGGTGTTTTATTTTAAAATGAATCTCACATACATATGTATATACAATATTATCATATAATATTACTAATACAAATAAATAATAGTACTTATTTGCTTAATAAATTTAAAAAAGAAAATATCCATATGCATGAATTGAGGAATTTTTGCGAAAAAGAGGAATTTCAGCGAATTGCCTTATCATCACATTATAATTTTAATAATTTTTCGTAAACAAATGTGGTTAAAATGAGTGTAAAATGTAATTTTTAAAATGCAGATTTTTTAGGTAAAAACCTGCTAAAAGTGTAAGGTATGGAGTTATTTACAAGTTTATAGTGTAATTTAATTAATTTGAAGTGAAAAATGTGAATAAAGTGTGTTTAATGTGGTGAAATAGCGTCTTGAAATGTACGAATTTTGCGAATTTTTGAAATTTAAGGTCGAATATCTCCTAAACTAAGCGTTTGCGGTACCTATAACTCTATATATTTTTTTAATCAGGAGGACTTCCTCTTTCCAACGGTACCTTCAGATAGCGGCGGCAAAGAAATCGGAATTTAACAATATTAAGTTAAATTATAATATTTGGAACAATGTTAATTTGAAAATTGATTTGTACTTTATGTTTATAATATAACACAACCGTCTTAATACCCGCTCTACTAAATTAAATATTACCGAAATAAAAATGCCGTCGGTATATGTGTAAATGAGATATGTTGCCCCTTCGAAATTTTCATATAAATGAAAACTGCGCTATCACATACTAATTAGTATTCCATATATTTAAATATGGAGTCTGCACAGGCAATAGGCACTGCAATACAGTTAGTATGACATAAGTTTTATCCTGTCTTAACGGGGCATTAAGATAGTTGTGTTAAGTTATAAAAATAAAGCACATTTTCAAAATAATTAATAAATTTTTCCAAACAAATTATATTTAATTTAAAATTGTTAATTTGCGGTAAAATGACTATTTTGCATGGTTATTGTGAATTGGCGCACCTTCTGCATTGAATCTTTATCATTAAAATCTTTATAATTTAAGTAGAAATTATAAAATCTATTTAATATTTACCTTCCTCAACAATTTAACTTCATAATATGTCTTTATGTAAAATGACAGCTAAAACAGTGTATCAAACGTATCATTGCACGATAATAAACATGGATTTTGCTCTGAGATACTTTTCAGCCATTACAAACAATTTTCTGCGTATTTGTTTTTGGTCCGTTGCACCCAGAGGAAAATTCTGCAATTCGTGCCCCGTGCAAGGGTTTTACAAGAGCAAGAGAACGCCCCTATTATGATTATGATAGTATGAATGAACTCATACAGATTTGGTTATGGCAATGCCAATGGATTTGACAGTTATACGCCATACATTTTTGCCTGTCGAGATGCGCGATACATGTTACATGTAACAAAATATTTTATAATAGTGTTACATATAATATGTGTCATATTTTCATAATTTACTTTAAAACTGATAATAATATATTATCACTCAACTAATAAAAAGATATGTTATTGTTTGAATTAATGCGATAAAATTCTGTATTGCAACCCTGACGATGAGAACGTCAAAACAGAAGAAGTGAAAATATTTTAGTAGGCCATTTTGTTATAAGTGATTTGGACGTGAAAATTCTAAACTTGAGTGTATTAGATTTTAGTGTATATCTTAAAAGTATAATTATAATTTTTTAAGAGTTAGTTTGCTATATTATAAGATGGGTCGCAAGAAGAAGAAGGCTTCTAAACCATGGTGCTGGTATCCTTTTTAAAGAAAAGATAWATTTGTTCTTTGTGACAAATGTATCTACACTGTTTTATATAATTGCGTCAACAGCGTTGTTAAGGAGGGGTGCTCCTTTCTATACCACGTTTTTTTCGTGCCAAATTTGGTGTTACATATTTTTTTAAGTTGCGGATACTTAACATTTTTTGTAAACAAACAGGTATTGCAATCGTGAGTTTGATGATGAGAAAATTTTGGTTCAACATCAAAAGGCTAAACACTTTAAGTGTCACATATGTCATAAGAAGTTATACACAGGGCCAGGATTATCAATTCACTGTATGCAGGTTCATAAAGAAACTGTAGACAAGGTGCCGAACTCTTTGCCGAACCGTTCTAATATTGAAATAGAGATTTTTGGTATGGATGGAATTCCAACAGAGGATGTCCGAGAGCATGACCGGCAAAAAAATGGTGGTAAATCTGATTCTGATGATGACGAACCAGCTGCAAAGAAAAAAGTTGAAAGTACGTGACATTTTGATAGCAATATTGTACTTTGTGTTTTACCAAATATGTCTAAACCGCCTCATTATTTAAAGTACCTTTAACGGCTCCTCCTCCCATGATGATGCCACCAAGCATGATGCAACCGATGATTGGTCAATACGCGCCAATGGGATTGATGTCCAATATGCCGCCAATGGCACCAATGCCTCCATTTTTAGGTCCTGGTGGTATACCAATGATGCCACCACACATGATGCCACCGCGACCTCTATTCCCTGCAACTATGGCTGCYACAACCTCTGCGGCAGCGGTACATGCCCCCATAGTTCCACAAAAGGCAACGTTTCCTGCGTACAGGTAATATTTTAACCATGTATTTTATTAGTAGTCATTGGTTATTTCTATGTTACATTTTTCAGTAATGCCACAATAAGTGCACCACCAACAACCAACAATCAAAGTGCCACAGGAAGTAGTGCTGCACCACATGAGACCTCTAAAGCACCAGCTGTACTTGCTGTTGGAAATTCTAGTAGCATTACATCGAAAATCATGCATCCACCGGAAGATTTAAGTTTAGAAGAGTTACGTGCTCGCAAACCAAAATATCAGAAAACCTACAACTGTGTTGGGAGCAATAATCATAACCAACGGATAACATCAATTGGTACACGCAATATCAATCATAATACAGTTGTCAGCAGCGGATCATCTACAACAATTCCAACAAATTCAAGTACGTCGAGTGCAGCGGCTGCCCAGGCTGCAGCTATATCAAAGGCCCAGGAAGTGAGTTCTTACCATAGATATAGAAATCATAGTCAATATAACTACTGAGCAGGCGAGTTTGGGAGGGAAAGTATAGATTAACACATATAAACACATTACTCGGCACACTAGATACGTGCTTCTTGGTATTATAATAAGAAAGTCAATGCAAATACATTTAGTACACATTAGTGCGAAAAACATAAACATACTATAACAGATAAAGATAATTAGCATACGAATTCGTAAAATCAAATAAAACAGAAAGGGGAAAAACACAAATTATTCCCTTATAAAGCTAAACTCATTCACTGAAATATATATGTATAAATACGGACCGATTATGTAATGTTTACTTAAGTGGGATAGTTCTGCATTTAATAATTTAATTTCTATTTCAAATAACTTAACATGATTTATACAAATAATACATAATACAGACTTATGTATTATTTATAGAATTAATAAATCACTAACACATACATGCAGGAATTAAGTAATCATTTACGTACAACAATTTTCAGATTAAATTAATTTGTCCATATATAAAAATGGTTGCCAGGCATCGTTTGTTAAACCGTTAAATAGTGTAATTATATAATTTGCTTTAATTTTGCAATTTTGAAATTTCGACAAACCTTACCGACGTTATAATTGTTTGTATTTTTATAATTTACAATGCAGATAAAAGGCGATTTTAATTGAAATAAATCATGAATTTTTTAAAATAAAATGCATACACGTTCTTTTTTTCCTATAATCTGGCGTGGTTTTAAAGTGCTAGTGCTTACTCACTCTCATAGTAAGAATATACAAATAGGCTATAAACCATTTTTATTGTTACATTTTTTTCATTGATAGATATTAAAAACCTAACGAAGTGAATTGTTTGGTTTCCAAATGTCATGATAAGACTTGTCAGATTTTAAAATTGCAAAAGTAGAAATTATTYGATTCAGTTCCGTTCTTTTAAATGGTTTTTAAATCAAACAAATTCCTGCTCCGAACTTCTTGGTATTTAAAAAAAAATACCATTATTTTGAATAATTTAAACTTTTTAAATTTTTCACTTGGTTGAAATTCGTCAATTGGCTTACATTAAAAGTTAATATCAGACAAGATTGCAATTAATGATCACATAACCAAAATAAAAAATCAAATGCAGATTTAAATGTCTTTTRTATAAAATTTGTCTACTAGGAAATATTAATGACGAAATGTATGCCAAAATGGGTTGCATATCTTACTGTCATTATTACTATTTTTTTTAAATAACTAAATAAAAAATATTTTCGTGAAGGCGTATACAAATGATGTGATAGCACGCTATTAAAGTTATAAATAACAGCAGAAGTTGCATGTTCAAATATGCAACAAATACACCTGTTTGAAATCACATCAGAGAAAAACTCAACTCAGCCGATAAGTTGCTTTTCCTTGTCCCAATTTTCTTAGGATACGTACAAAACAACATATTTTAGAACTGAAAATATATTACGTTGGTGGTTTTGTAAAGGGTGGAAAATTAAAAATTTTGAAATAATAAGAGTATTAGTTACATTTTATRCAAAGTCTAGTGTTTAAATGAGACATTCCTCTAAATTTTCATTAAAATAAATAATATAACACAAAACAAAGTGTAAAAAACGTGGAGATTTCAAATTTATTGAACATTTTTGAATGAAAGCGATAACCGAYTTGTTAACCAGACTAACCTCCCTTCTCCATCTTAGTAACACTTATGCTGATATCTTCCACCACAACTCATACTTATTGCGCGCTTTCTCTCTCTATCTCTACCTCTATCTCTCCTCTTCGTAGGCTGCTGCAATGGTAGCGGTTGCACAGGTCCAAGCAGCTCAAGTCCACGCACAAGTACACGCCCAGGCGCAGGCGCAGGCTCACGTGCAAGCAGCACAAGCGCATGCTCATGCCCACGCTGCGGCGCAGGTACAAGCGGCGCAAGTTCAGGCTCAGGTGGCACAAGCACAAGCTCACGCTCAAGCGCAGGTCGCTCAAGCGGTAGCCGCGCAACAGCAGCAACAACAAAAACAATTGGAAGATCTCAATCGGGCTGTGATACTGCAACGTCTACAAGCCACACGACCAGGACATCCGCCAACAGCACTTGGCACAGCTGCTGGCGCCACGGTAGGCATGGTAAGTGTCTATAAAAGGGTTTTATATATTTTCCCAAAAATCATTAAAAAACAACTAAGAAGCTGTTTCATTAAAACCATATTACATCGATTTTAAACACCAATTACATACATAGTCATGTATGACGTCATACACGGCTATACAATTAGCAAGATGCTATAAATATTTTTCAAGCTTCAATTTGTTGGATTTATATTTCAGATTCTCCAATATTACACAAGTAAACACCAACAATTTAAAGAATATAAAGTGCCATAACCCAGTCACTAATTACGCTTCTTAATTTGAAATGGGGACAGGGGTTACTTTAGGGAGAGTCATGTGTAGTATAAAAATTGTTTAAAAGTGTAATATAATCTTTTTGTGCATGACCCAAACTATTTTATTTGCATTAAGTAAACTTAGTAAGAATATTAATTTAAGAAATTCATGATATGAGTTGAAATCTGGTTATAACCACACACCATATTTTTTTCTATTGCAGCACTTTGTACAATAGATTTCAACATAACCACACATGAAATGAATTGTACAAAGTGCTACAATAGAAAAAAATTATTAAATTTAATCAATCAGGATTCGGTTATATGTAGATAAGCCCAGAACTTTCCATATAAACCCTTTGTTTTCGAGTCAATACGTGCAAGAGTGTTGAGAGAAGTTGGTCTCGAAATGCTTATATTCTCAATAAAAATTTATATTTTATTTTGAGTATGTATTAAGTAATCAATAAAAAAAATTTGTGTACTTACCGAAAATAGGRCTGGAATCTCCCTTAGTCCCTCTTAACTCCGAATGGCGGTTTTGACCTTCCAATTGACTATACGATATTTAACCCTTTCAGTCCCAAAGTTGCTTATAAGTAACTTCTATGTTTGACATCTTTTAAAAAGTCAAATACATAAACACCTCGTTAAAATACACATCTTGTTGATCAATTTGAATTCGAAGAATACCAAAATTACAAGAACATAACGGTTGTGTCATGATCAATCATGTTATGATTCATTATTCGAAGCGAAGTTGAGCGTGGCGGTGTTGCGAAAGTTTTRAAGCATATTATAAAAAAWWAWTWRRAWWMYTWAAARRWWAAWTTKRAAAAAAAAAAATATTTACACAGTTTAGGAAATAGGAAAAGAAAAAAATACAAGTGATAAAATTAGAAATTATTTTTCTATATTACCGCTAGATTTTTTTGCTTGTGCAATTGCTTATAAGCAACTTTGGGCGTTTAGGTTATACAAATATTAAAATGAGTAAAGCACGAAAAGAAGACATACAGCAGATTTTGAATATAGACTGGGACAAATCTTCTGACAAAGAGTGTGATGAAGATGAGTTYTTGGAGAAGGATTTGAAAGCGCTTTTAGAAAATGGTGAGGAATTAGAAATTGATATACTAAAAAGTACTGCCAACGAAGAAATTTCTAAAAGATCAGAAAATATGGATGACTTTATTATTGGAAAAGATCATGTTTCGCAATTGAAGTGGAGAAAAAGACCAATCGACTTTCAAGATATTACTTGGAAAGAGGCAGAAGAAAACATTAACATGGTAAATCCATGGTWAATCCGTTCCCACGACAGTCGGATCTACGGAAACCRGAACGGACCCGGATTTTTATCCGGCCAAGGACTGTCAACTCGGCAGAACTCTGCCGTTACAACAACAACAACATTAACATGGTAAATAAGCCGATTCAATATTTCAATACTTTTTTTTGATGATGCTTTAGTCAAATCGATTGTGGAACAGACTAATATGTATTCCCTCCAAGGGTCCGGCAGTGAACTCAATTGCTCAAATGATGACATTTGTCGATTTCTTGGAGTTTTGTTGTACTTGGGCGTAGTCCAGTTGCCAATTTTTAGAATGGCATGGTCGCAAGAATTGAAATTAATAGCAATAACAGATTCTATGCCGAGAAATAAATTTTGAAAATAAAGAAATTTATCCATTTTTCTGCTAAGTCGAAACAACCAGATAAAAGCGATAACAATTATGACAAATTATACATATATATTCGTCCTCTATTATCGTTACTCAAAGAAAAATTCAACAATCTACCTCAAGAGGAACACCAAAACATTGATGAGCAGGTCATAGCATATAAAGGTAAGTTCAGAGGTATGCATATGCAATAAATAAAAACTTTAGGTTATCTCGTTAATTGCATATCTTAGAAAGATCATCTTTTAAGCAGTACAATCCTGCTAAGCCCCACAAATGGGGACTGAAAAATGTTCACGCGGGCAGGTTAGTCAGGAATTATTTATGACTTTGCGAAATACGTTGGTGATGGAACTTGTCCTTCATATGGGCTCGGCATATTATCGGACATTGTGTAAAGTCTGAGTCAGATATGAAAAAGCTTGGCAGAGGATCTTATGAAGAAAAAGGTGAATCTATTCTTGGCATTGTTGCAGTGCGCTGGATGGATAATAAGCCAGTTCAGTTATTGTCCACATTTGTGTTAGATAAACCATGTAAGTGTTGGAATGGGAAAGAAAAAAATTTGTTGAAATTAAGAGACCGGCTATTATTTCAAAATATAGTAAACACATGGGAGGAGTTGATTTTGCCGGCATGCTTATGAAGCTGTATAAAGTGAAACATCGCTCCAATAAGTGGTACATTTAAATATTTCACTGGAGTCAAAGCACAGTAGTTATCAACTCCTGGCTTATGAATCGCAGATAGAKATYGCAACTGAGCTCTTAAGCGCTACGCTGATGTTTTCCAGTTCTACTCAAAAGAAGAGGGGACGCCCTAGATCTATGCAAAATGTAGAAACCGACTCAACTCCGGATTCACTTTCTTTCTCAGAAGCGTCTAGTTCGAAACGCCGTCATATTGTTGAAGAACCCTCCAACTTAAAACGATATGATGAAAATGGTCATTGGATAGTTTGGGGAGAGAAAGAACAATGCCGTTTTTGTAAAATCGAAACACCTTTCTCAAAATGCTCAAAATGTGGTGTTCATCTATGCTGCAATACGCACAAGAACTGTTTTTTTATCTTATCACACTTAAAATACAAAACAAACATATATGTACATGATAAATAAAGAGAAATCCTTTGTATATATATTTTTTCTTTTGCATGTATTTACATCACTCAAATACTGCCCTAAACGCCCAAAGTAGCTTATAAGCTACAAGCTTGCTTGTAAGCAACTTTCAATATCTTTTGATCGGATCACACTAAAGCGCTAAAACTTGTAGCAGTTAATTGAGCCATTCTAAGTCAGAAAATCAAGAAATAAAAGTGCGGTCTTGCAAGGGTTAAATATCAATATGCGAARCATCTTAATGAGATGGAATGAACATGTTTTCTGGGCTTCCATATTTCCTTGCAGTAATTTGGAGTGTTTCTCTTATCAGTATAAAAAATCAGCGATACCACTTCCCACTTTTCCCCAAGCACTACATTAGCTTAGTCGTACATTTCAATCCAACTTAAACAATTTATGTATTGAAATAAACATATGTATTTGCTAATTTTTATGAATATGATTGCAATTACTGTAAATTATTTGTATCTGTAGTTTTCATAAATTTTTGAAGTAGGCTTATTTATTAACAGTCTCATATAATTTTGCCATGCATGGAAAAATAAGTGAACAAATATCCCGACAATACTTCGTACATAACTTCTATGTGCAATTATGGACTATAGAATGGCCCAAATACAAAAAACTTTAATATGTTGAATAATGCATAGAGTAATAAGATGGAGAATATGGTTAAAGTAAACCATTATACTGAGAAAATAATCCAGTAAAAAAATTAGCCCATGTCCTTCATAATCTTTGCTATTACTGTAAATTTAAAATTATGTCAATTTGACTTGTGCCAACGGGAATCAATAAATATTCATATTATGTCATGTTTCTAAAATCATTCAAAATTAATAACCACAAATAACGGGTTCTAACTAAGAAAGAGTGTAGCAAGAGTAAGTATTTTTATATATCCAGATTATTTTAACAAAACTCTAATTTTTGGTCGTTTTTAAGTCGATTAGATAGACATTTATATTATTGGTTATGTAGGCCTACAAAAATATAAGAAAGGTTGTTGAATAGTTACGATAAGAGACAAATTTTTCCACTAAAGATTATGCTGATACTTGTTGTTTTATAACATATCAGATGTTTTCTTTAAGTGGCTTCTAAAAGCCTTTAGAATTTTAAAAAAGAGTTGCTCATTCGGTGTATTTATCGCCCATTTCCTTTGGTATTAATTATACATAATATATTATACATAAGTAAATGTCCATAAACTCCTTTTACTGAAAATGCTATAGGCTATTACCTTCTAATAGAAGTACACATACTATATTTTCATTTAGCAGACTTTTAAGATTAATCTAGGTTTTTGACAACAGTCTAAAGCGATGTGTCAGAACACAAGCAGTTTGAGTGTACAAATAAGCGAACAGTCAAAGAAATGTTTGATATTGAAATAAGATAAGTAACAATAAATTCATTAAAAGCAAAGAAAAGATAATATCATGTAAGTACAATTTTCACAATATTAGTATATATAAATAAATTGTCGTAATAAATAGTTGCTGAGTGGGTTGGTTGATTAATTGATATGTCTTACAAATATCTCAGTGTTATTTTTTCCGTAAATTACAATAGTGATGGGGCATTTAGTGTATTTAATGTTTATGCAATTACAACAAATTTTGCGTTTACCATAAACTTTATTATAAATAACATAGAATTTAAGTGCAAGTGTAAGACCAAAATTATCCACACCTAATTAGATAAAATTTAAAAACTCAGTATTATGTTAATCAACACATACTTACCTACTGAATACTAAAGTGATGTCAGTAATATCTAGCTTCTTATACACAAGTCTCAACTGTTTTCCATTTCTCATTCCCTTTGCATTAAATCTGTTAACTCACGCTCGTTATTCAGCATTGTAATCCCACATCCAATCCACATACTATATGCAATAATCTCACTTCTCTTAATTATCTTGAAATTGTATTAGTTAAAATTACTCAAAAGAAAAAATCTAAATAAGAATGATAAAATATCTCTTTTCGGAAAGCGATTAACTTAACGTAGTAATTATATCAATTGGGGTCTAAATGTTATTATTTAAAACAAAGTAAATAAAAATGGCAAACGCCAGTTACAAATAAATAAAAATAAATTAAATTATTATTTCCTTTGTTGACAACATTCACCCATAAGGATAGATTAAAATACTTTGGAAATKTTATCCGAATCCCCTTTTTCGGACTATCTGGAACTCTAGCAGATAAAACATTAAAAAACAATTAATTTACTAAATAAACATTCGAAAGAAACTGTAAATTTTATAATTAGTAATTAGTTTTATTACATATAATTGAAGTACAGCACATGATAAAAGTTGTGCAAGATTGGGTTTACACACATAAACTTTTCTTGATCGTTATGAAAAAATTGTCCTTTGGTGTTGCCAATCTTCACGAGAACCCCGGCCGGACAATTTTCTGCATTCCCTTTCATAACTTCTATTAATTATTTAATTATTAATTTTCTTTTTAATTATTTTTTTTATATTTTGCATATTAAATGATTGATAAAATTAAAATTTGTGATCGTAATGTAAATTCTCAATAAATACCAAGTGCGATTGAAACAATGGAAATAATTTGACGATGAAAAGAAATGCCAAAACATTACGAGTTTGCGTAACAAAATTCGGGTGTAACCCAGGCTAACTATCAGATGATATATTATATCATTATATTTTTCCCACTAGTAACATATTTATGTATGATATCTTTAATGCAATTTTTAAAGCTAAGTTTGATCAAAAGTGATTTATTCAATTCAAATATACGAAATTTTTGCAAAAATTTTTATATATAATTAGATTGCATTAGGCATATATTCCGCAAGAGTAATATCGTTAAGCTTAGTGTAAAAGTGAGTACGCGAGAAAGTGAGTAAAAACGGCTAAAGTAAGTACGTTTTTCTATTATTCTTCTATTACCAAAACGCCTTTTATATTCATTGTAATGCGAAACAAAAAATAAACAGTACATTTATATTTTATACGCCACCACTACTCTATATAATACATAATTTAATTAATAAATAATATAAATAACGTTAGATGATTTTTGTGTAACTGAAATGTGTGCGAGGCCGTTGCTTTCGCTCTGTCAAATAACCAATTGAATTCGTTGATGTATTATTTCTTATCTTTATCTAATTTGTTGCTGTCATTCTGCGGTGCTCTGTAGATGCCATTACCAGGACAAATGCAACTGATGCAACCGATGCTACGTCCCGCCATGCCTTTGGGACCACATACTCCCCTACTGGGTGGTAATATGTTGCGTGCGCCTGGTGGTTTGCCGGGAATACCAGGTTAGTGTATATATATTCAAATAATTTAAAGTATAAATTATGCCTAGTAATATAATATTTTTCTTTGCTTTTATGTAGGTTTACTACCAATGCAAGCTATTCAGATACCACCGGGGATGCATATGCCCGGTATGGGTGTCATGTTACCGGCAGGTCATCCTGTACTGCAAATGATGCCGAGGTTTCGGTGATCCGTTGCACAATATGCACCGTCATCACTTGGTTTGGCAACGGCGTTGTTAGGAATGCGGTTGCCGTTATTATATCCACCAGAAGAATAAATACGGAATAAGCAATAATGCATTTAGCATCGCCTMAAATAAATTTTAAGTTTAAAATAACTAAAGAATATCAAATGCTATACAACAAATAGACATCACATGGACAACCAATGCAGTGAATATTATAAGATGAGTCGATATAAGGCAAACTTATTACACAATGAATTAATGAGCACATTATCACCCAGTAGCGATTATAATAAAATCGAACCACTCATGGAGCAAATATGGCAGTAGAATGTAACCCTTRTTATAAAAGGAGCACAACAAAACAACAACGACAAGAACTGTAACAACAAGCAAGTTCAAATTCCTTTAACTATTCTTCATATTTACTAGTAAACTTACTTTTAAATTATCACTATTTAAAAGTTATTATCACATAAATAGTGTACTTTTAAGCAACATTGTTGTTACAGAAAACAACTTTGTACTTATCTTAGTTCTTCTATATGCCCTATTTTAACCAAAATCGTATCATCACATCCAATAAATATGCCAGTACATAAGCAACCATTCAATCACCATGCCTGCTACGAAAAGAATATGGGGGTTAATGAGCACTTATGAACATTGGTATATTAAACTAAAGCACTGTGAAATGCGTTTTGGTGTAATGTGGTGTTTAATTATAGGATGTTTGGATTATTCAGTGAACCCATTTTAGTTTTAACTCCTGTTTTTCCAAGCTATATACGTGCTCATTTACTAAAAATATTTGTTTATTTTGTTAGTTATCTGCGAATATTCAATTTAATGTAAAATAAGATATGTTTAAAGAAAGTCATTTTAAACCAATCAATGAAACACAAGTAATAGATTTAAAAGAAAACGTAAGTTTTTTGCAACTCTTGTACATTGTAAGTGATTATTGTTAAGTATGAATGTGTCTTATAACGTATGCACTCATATATATTTATTTTACATTTGAATTGTCATGACACAGTGAACATAAATTTATTTACTATTAAACACAACATTTACATTTATCACGTAGATACTGTCTTTACTAATAATTTCTAATAAGCTTTCTCTTTTGCTCTATTTCTACTTTAATTTTTGTCATAAAAGCTAGGGGGTTTATGTTTATATTAATGTAATTATTAATCGTACATATACCATAGATTAGCTTTTTAACATTCATTGCCCTCTTACAAATGTATATTTTTTATATGAATTTCATTTCCTAGCTTGTGCACAAAATACATATGTATATCAAACATTATTCTCGAATATGCTCCGGAACAGTACGAGGTAGGATTATTACATATGTTTTTTGTGGTCTTCATTAAAAGCTTATTATATATTATTATAAGTATATATACATCTGTATATATAGAACCATTTCAAAAAGAAGTTATATCCAGGGACAGAAAATAACAGTTGTTGTATAATTTTTTCCTAAAAAATCATTATGAATCCGATCCATATGTACGTGTATGATGTAGTAGCAGAAAATTTTGTTCTTTTGAGAAGTACACAAATTTGTCAAAAACTCTTAAAATTTGATTTTTATTTTTTCCTCATAAAATAATCGTTATATATTGATTTTTCTTTTTCGCTTAGAAAATAAGAATTATTTCATAACTTGTATTTATTACTTACAGAATAGGAGATATGCGGTGGCTGTAAGTATGATTCAATTATATAAGGCTGTGATGTGTCGATAGCCCAAAAATAAAAWTTTTTTTWAAAGTAATTGGATCCATAAGGCCAGAATGAGCCGTTTTCTTTTCTATGGTTTTGTTTTTATGATTCAAAACAAAATATGTCATAAATTTCAACTAATGAAAATGCGTTTTTTGGGTGATAACTGAATGGGAAAGTTTTTAAATTACATAAAATCATCAGAATGTAAGCAAATAAAGTTAACTAATTTTCACATTATGAATACAAAGAGTTGAGTTGTTTTACCTTGACACGCTATTACTTTCATATAGCAAAGACAAGTACCCATACTCTTCAACTCTTATTGAGCAAGAGTTATGAAAAACTTACCGCATAACCATGATTCAATTATATAACGTTGTGTCGATAGTCCAAAAACAACAATCTGTTAAAAATAATTCGATCCATACTAACAAAATGAGCTATTTTGTTTTACATTGCTTTGCTTTTATGATTCAAAATTTAGTTCAAAGATTTAAATTAATGAAAATTCAGTTTTCGAGTGATAACCGAATCCAAATAACAGTAAGTCATCAAAATATAAAAACTAAATTCATGAGAAAAAAAAATAAAAATCAAAATATAACTATTACTTAGGAAAATAATATTTATTAAACTTAATTTTTTTGCCCACTTCCTCATTACTGTTATGGTCCCTGGTTATATCATTTTTAATGACAAAATGTAGAAACTTTTGGAAATCAGTTTTTGCTTGAAATTTCTCTCCCAGTTTTGATTTAAATACCTTTACCGTGAACATACTGAAATTTTTTGTTCACATTTTAATAAAAGTGTTAATTATATTATGATGTAATTTCTTTTATTATATACAAACAGGGTATATTATGTTGGCCAAGAAGTTTGAGACACCCAGAAGGAAGGAGACGTCGAATATTCTATGAAATATATAGTCTATTTAGCCATGTCCGTATGTTTGTCTGTATATATGCGAACTAGTGTTTCAGTTTATGAGATATCGATTTGATATGCTTACTCATATTTTTCTCTCCAAAAAGCTGCTCATTTGTCGGAATCGCTGATAGCATGGAACTGCCAAACAGACTGAACGATCAAGGCCAAGTTCTTGTATGTAAAACTTTTTTTGACAAGATATCGCCACGAAATTTGGCATGCATTATTGTCAGAAGTAAAGCTACAATCTTCTAATTAATTTTATTAATGAGAATTTAAAAATTAAAATTTCGGCGGTTAAGAGAGTTTATTTGTAACACTTTTATTATGTTAATATCATATGTTTAAAGAAAGTCATGTCCCTGAAGTACGATACCATTTTCAGCAGTATTCATTGTTAACTTTGTTTGCAGCCGCTAAGTTTAGATGCGTGTTTATGAGCTTAGCGATTTTTGTTTGGATCATGTTATTGTTCGTGAATTTTTAACCARATACAATACTTTAATAATTCCCCTATTTCCAAAATGAAAGAGAACCTTAAAGAGATGATATTAAAAGCACATCGCTGAAGGACTAAAAGYTATCCCAACAATCGAGTTTCATCAATGATTGGAAGAAGCGCTGGTATAAGTACATAAATCGAATAGGAACTATTTGGTAATGTAGACAAATGAATAAATATTAAAAAAAAAAAACGAATTTATTCAAGGGTGTTATAGAATAGTGTCGTTAGTGACACGAATTCAGATATTGGTTTGATGTTCGAAAGACAAATTTTATAGGTTTTGGGTATCACGGAAACCAGTTTTATCGGTTTTGTTATCAGTAAGCAAGAATATAGTCACTAATAGATTTGAAATGTAAGTTAACAAATTAATTCATTTTATTGTTACGTAAATACCAAAATCCAATTAAATATTTGACACCATTAAAAACCAGAATTGGTTTGTAATTCTGACAATTAAGGAAATCTGGATTCCACAACACTCTATTTTTTAACTAATTAGCTGAATTATGAATTCGTACGAATACCCATAGTAAAAAACTTTTAACTTTGTTTACATAATTACGTAGTAGTGTGGGTATAAATGATGTAAACCTTGTAACAAAATTTATTATACGTTTATTTAACAAAACTTAGCTTTGAAATTATTTCAAACTTCTAATTTTACTTTTAATTTTGTTTTATTACTATTTATTCTGTTTTTGTTTTTTAAGATCATTTTCATTCAGGTTTTGGTCGATTGAGGTCTGCAATTAATTAATTAAATAGTTTTTGGTAGAATACTGACCAATATCTATTAACCAACAAACAACCTAATTGAAAAAATAAACTAAAATATAATATAAAAAACTCACGAGAGAAATAATCTAGCCACGGTTTGCAAATTCTGAGTAAGCGATCATTTTATGTTTCTTAACCATACTTTTAGTTTTTCGTAATATTTGTAAGCACGTAAACATTATTATTTGTACACTTAGAAAGCCTGCCTAGAAAGCATATGCTAATAAATGCACATATCTGATTTTATAATTAAAATTATACCACAAGAAATTTAACCTACATACATATTTACATCTGTATTTACATATGTGTGCATGCACATACATATAGTGCATTATAATCAAAACGTTAAATGGCCCCGTTGGTTTATTCGCTTAACGTAATTGAGCGGCTTTCAATATACAGGGTAACTGTACGATTAAAAAACRTAAAAATACGTAACTTGATGTTAAATTTGTATTAAAAACTTGTATGTACCTAMATTTTTTCCGTATTCTGAATTTAAATTTCGATAATTTTATTTCATATACATAGATAAAAGAGATAAAGATCGGTACTTGATTTTAATTTTTACAGGGAAATCTCCAAGTAAGTTTAGCCTCCATATAATTATTTATTATACTACAATATTTTATAAATATCGTTTCACGAAGATCAGTAAGTTCACTGTATTTTGTAATACATGTTAAAGTTGCTTATACTTAAAATACAGCCATACCAACAAGTAACCGGAAAATCAGGTATTAAACGTAAAATATATCTTACATTCTGTGTCTGGTATAACACCAAAAATATGGTTTGGGATGGAAATTATCGACAGAAATTGGGCTAACATTGTAAACTTTAATTTAAATTTTTTACTGCACGACTAATGACTTTGTATGGTGCTCTGAAATTACGCTCATTAATATCCATATTCGTTTACTATTTAAAAGGTWTTTATCTTAATTGGAATCAACCTTTAAAATAGTTTTTGTTCTATATCTAGTCTTTTTTCTTTACATATGCGTAAGTATGTACATTACTTTCTGGTGAACCAAGTTAGAGGATGCAGTATATGCATATGAAGTTTAGAATTTCTTCGAAAATCATTTAATTGTCATTGAAATAATAAAATATTAAACATATTTTTACTTTTGATTAAAACTCAGTTTTGCAAATTACTTCTCTATTTAAAGTTACAAGCATATAATTTAGACAACACCGTCTTGAGAATTTTTTTATCTTGATCTTAAAGTTTCAAGATCGTTTGGCTTTTTAGAACTATAACTTTTCTATTCTGCTTTTTAGATATATTCGAAGTATACCACTAAGTAATTAATATAAAAGTTTCTATCTTAATTATATTTTTGTTACATTAACTAATCTTCGATTCTGAGWAATTTGAAAACATTAAAGTATAACAGTGATAAATTGCACATATTCACACATACTATGTATATATCTTTTCATAGAACTCATTGGAATCCATACATATAAGCAATCGTAGCATCATGTACAATAAATTATATGTATATATTAACATTTCCATCAAATTTTTAACACGCATTGCATATTATTAGAGTTTTCGACATAATGAGTGAGGTATTTATTTCTGTATATACTCATTCATACTTATTTCACATCTAAATGAACCATATACACATAATATTAATTACATATATCGAGTGACAAGTGATTGGTTCGCAAAAGTTACCAGAACTGTATTCCATAAAACATTTATTTAATTGCGGCCGCGCAAAACTGGTGTTGGACTCTTGACTCGCAGTGGCTTATCTTGGGCAAACAAATGCATCTGGTATGAAGTTATGCGAGGCTTGGGTACCTCAAYGCAAAGCGGAAAGGCTTGAGAAAATATTGAATTAAAATATATACATATATATGAATCAAAGAAGGCTAGTCATTATATTTGTACAATAAAATAACCGCAAGAATTCTTGGTGAATGGTAGCTTAGCTTATTATGGTAAACTCGAAAAGCTGTAGGTGGTTAACATTTAATTTATTTTTGTAATCTTAAAACTGATAACTTATTCTAATKTTTTTTTAAGTTGTAGAAATTAATTTCACTATTCCTTTCACCATATTAATTTATAAGCTCTTCTTTGAAAAACAATCCGCTTGCGTTGGGCGACACATGAGTAGTTGGTTGCGTTCGCTCTCTTTTTCAAAACACCACTCCTCCGTATATTTAACATGTATTTCTGTTATAATATTAGTTTATAACAATTTTAAGATAATATTATATTAACTGTTTTCGTGAGATGATTCTGCTGCTTGCTATGTTATTGGCGTAGTTAGCAAGGTTGCTTTGCGGCTATGAATATGAAATAAAATAATAAGTAAATATTTGATTGTTTCCTCCATACACGTAGAAGGTTAAACCCCGTTCAGTGAAAGAAATATTAAAAAAAACATATGCCACTCATGGTGAGGATCATAATTTTTAACTTTGAATGAAAAATTTAAGAGAGATTGACGACTTAATATGCATTATGTGCTATAAGAATATTTTTTTATTATTTCCTTCCCTGAATTATTAACATTAACTTTTCTATCCGACTTTTCAAGATGTAGTTTACTGAATATGGCGCAGTGAAATTTTTAATTAATATTTTTAGTATTTATAGTATTATGGGTGTATTTTTTTAATAAACTCTTTTATATTGCATTTATTCCGTAATTAATATTTGTATGTTCAAACCTCTATTTTTCCTAAATTGTTTTTCCCGACTGTGAGAGCGAGCGTTCAATCGAAAACGTGTCACATCAATTTTGCTGATTGAAAAGTCCCTTGCAAAAGGTGCGTGCGCATGCAATAAATTTTTTTTGTTGTTTATATTGTTTGTTGCATGCCACCGCTAGAGCAGGCGATGTGCTAGCGCACATCATAGTCAGGTCCTGGGTAAGCCCAACGGGCAGGCTGTTGGACTTTTCGGTCCTTGTCACTATTTAAGTACTCCGGTCTACTTTTTGTTCATCACATGAAAATTTAACATTTTTAACATTATTTAAGTTTGTGGAGCTGGAGTTTTTTTCAATTGCTGTGCGTACCAATCAACTGATTAAAAATAAAACCGAATACAAAATATGGAATGTATACAATCGTTTATATTTTCTAGCTATAGTTGTATCGTGTAAATGCATCACAAGCAATTATGACTAAAACTACAATTTGTTAATTTGTGAAGAATACATAAATGTTATAATTGAAATATGCAACACTATTTTACTATATTATATATTTGTGTAACTAATAAATGCTTATTTAGGAGTTAAGTATTCAGTTATTTGGAATATAAAACTATTTCGCAGTTTTAATATCTTGGAGTTACACCCTTCAGATACTTGTGTACTTCCATAGCTAAGAGTG